TAGTAACATGCAGGATTGCAACCGAATCTGATATATTTTCTCAGATTCTCATCAGATTTCTCATCAGATTCGGTTGCAATCCTGCATGTTACTAGACCGGTTGGGTTAACCGGAGCTTGGTGAAAGTTGCCCTAAAACGCCCAGCGTGGCCGCTCCAGGGGCACGATTCTTGAATTTATTCGAAGGAGAAACGTATACGAAAATTCTGCTCTTACAGAAAAGTTGCAAGTTGATTGGCTATTCGCATGGCTTTAACCAATCGACTTTCAACTTTTCTGTCAGAGCAGAATATTCGTATACGTTTCTTCTTCGAATGATTTCGAGAATCGGGCCCCAGGTTTCTCTCTGCTTCTGCTGATATTATTATATTTTGGGGAAATTTTGACGAAATACGACAAATTTGGGGAAAACTGCTGAACACGTTGGGGAACTTGAGTTTTAGCCATCTGGCAACACTGGGACTTAGTTGACGTTCATTTCTTCAGAGGGAGCATTTGTTTCTAAGCTGGAGTCTGGAATTCTGGATGGCCGCTTAGATTTCTAGCTCTCTTGGCTGAACTCGGCACTCGGGTTTTTCTCTACTTTCACGCGACATCATCGTGGCTCTGTAAATGCCGCTGACGGGGGAAGCATGTAGCTCTCGGGAACGAAGAATAGCGATACAATTCTGTCCGTACTGTGCTAATCTTCTCAGGTTCCGGGAAGACCCATTGGACAATCGATTCGCGTGCCCCACGTGCCCGTACATCTACACCATAACCGCGCCGGTAATCGTGCGCACCTACTTCACGGGTAAGAAGCGCGCCGATATTTACGACGCCGAGTCCGCGTTGATGGGCATGCAGACGACGGAGGAACGTTGCCCCAAGTGCTCGCATCCGCGCGCCTACTTCAAACAGCAGCAGACGCGATCCGCCGACGAGCCTATGACTACCTTGTACAAATGCTGCAACCACGCGTGTGCTCATACGTGGCGGGTCGATTGAGCTCGCGAATTCATTCGCAGGTAAATTTACCAGATAATCGCAAGAACGACCTTACAAAGGCAGGAGGCAAGGGGACAATTAGACCTGAGTCACTCTTTAAATTGTTGCTGACTTCTGAGGAAACTCAAAGAAAAATGGAATGAAGGTTAGAGCTGTCTCACTATAGGTTGCATAGAATTGCGTCAGAAGGTGAATGTTGTGCGTGGTCTACAATACGTGGAGTAAGGGAGAGCCCTAACTTCTAGCTTTTGGTGTAAGGAAGCTGAAATACGGGCATGATTTTTAAAATAATTGTAACACTGATTGATGGCATTTTGATTCACCGAGAGTAAGCCTAAGAGCTGAAGTAGGAGTAAGAAATAAGATGGATTTATTTCCTTACTCCTACTCCTTACTCCAGCTTACTCCATGTATTGTAGACCAGCCTTAAGAGAAGTACTTACCATTCTCGAATGAAAAGTAATTTTTTTACAGCAATCAAAATTATAAAAATAAAATCCAAAATTAGATTGTCATGAAACTTTGATAAAAACGGGAAAAAAGGTACAAACACGATTGCAATGGTCTAGAAATCAAATATGTGGGCAAAGAACTTTTATCATTAAGGAAAATTCAAAATGAAGGAACATACCTCGCATGTTACGCTGCCTACTAATTTAGCAGAAACCTATCTTATATTAGGAGGCTTCCCTCCACTACTTCACCCACCTCTAAAAGAAGGTTCTGCAGCTTCTGGTTCTTCTCCAGGTGCGGAGTTGTTGGAGCGTTCGATACATTATGAGTCCCGGCTCGATGGGCCCCATGAAAATCTTCATGAATAGAGCCAGAAGGGAAATGAAGATGCTCGGGTCAGACGAGAAACACTTGTTCTGCGGCGGCGACCGGAGCGTCGCAATGGCGGCGGAAATGTTGCGGCAGGGTAAGGTGATCGCGATACCAACGGACACGGTGTACGGTCTGGCTTGCCTGGCCACCAATTCGCAGGCGGTCCAGCGGCTGTACAAGATCAAGCGACGGAGCGAGCAAAAGCCGCTGGCGATCTGCTTGAGCAACGTCAAGGAGATTGGTGCGTGGGGAGTGATGGACGACATCCCAGTCAACATGCTAGAGGCCTTACTTCCCGGACCCTACACGATCTGCCTGCGACGCACGCCCGCCCTGAACCGGGACCTGAATCCGGGCCTCGACACCGTCGGCATCCGCGTGCCCAACGACAAGTTCGTGCTCAGCGTCGCACAGATTGTCGGCCCGCTCGCGCTTACCAGCGCCAACGTCAGTAGCGAGCCGAGCAGCCTGCATCCGGACGAGTTCCGCGCGCTGTGGCCGGAGCTCGGCGGCGTCTTCCACAATTCCAGGAATTGCAAGAAGCAAACCGAAGCACGCCGGATTGGCTCCACCGTGGTGGACGTGTCGAGCCCGGGCTGTTTCACGGTCGTGCGTCGCGGCATCAACGCGGATCTTATCGTCAAGACACTAGAGAAGTTTGGTCTGAGCATGACCACGGCGGAGTAGCGATGTGTAATTAAACTCGTATTATTCAGTGATGGATACATATATTTGTGAATTGTATTTAACTGAATAATGTTAATTTTTGTACAGCTTCGAAGATATAAATATAACAGATTTAAAGTACTTCATAATCATTATCAGACCAACGCAAAGTAAACCGGAAGAAAGGTACGTCGACGCGAGAAAGTCGTGCGCATTAAAAAGTGTGTAAATATCTGTAAAAATCTGACTAGAACTAAAACATGACGGATTTAGATACCTGGAGATATCCTAGCGCCTTGATGGAAAATTCTGTGGCCTATAATAGGATCGACAATTAATTAATACAGAAGTCGCGATATTTAATTCTCATGATATTGAGAGGGAGAAACTACCATCTGTGATATCGTTCGAAAGACTTGTTTTAATAAAACGAAATATTCTTCGAAATTTGTATTATAATTTCCTATTTATAAAACAATTTCGTCAGCTTCTTTCATCATTTTATCATGTCTAAAATATCGTGACGACTCGTTACAATATATTGTGTAGACACTTTGTACAATTAGAATATACATATACAAGTCTCTGAAAATCTTATTTTATTGCGATTTATTCAGTCTAAGAACATTTCGTATGAGATGTTAAACAATTCCTTACGCTTTCGTTATTATCTAATTGATAGTATTTCTTAGGTTTTTCATTTCTAGCAGTCATTAAAATTTATTATTTAAATTGAAACTGCGCTTGCTTCTATACGATTGGAAATTATAAAATAATGTTCGGAGGCAAATAAACATTCATCGAAAATTCTTTCCACGAAAGATAGATTCTTGCCTGGCCATCGATGAAAAATTTTGTACACCTTGTACAAAATATCGTATCCTCCTTGCAGTCCTTACTTTCGTAATAAACAAATCATGCAATCGTGACGTGCATATGCATATATATATGTATATACATATGTATATACAACAATATATATTCATATATTGTATATATACACATAATACACTCGTTCAATCGCTAGGTCCTCGTTCCGGGCTTGGACAAAAAACATGGTTTTAAAAATAGCATTAATGTAATAAATAAATATTTAATGCTATTGCGGATGTGACCGTCTTCTGTCCTTATCGGACTATGTCCTTGACTGGTCTCGCGCGTCCTAATTACAAATAATCACTAGCGTTTGCTTATTCTAAGCGATAGAGGCTCTCACGAAAGTTTCGTTGGCTCTTCAATGCAGCAATTTTCGACGGCGCGAGGGCACAAGCACGCGATTAAAAATATTTGGATCTTAAAAACAAAGAAAAGCTATTTCACGATTACATTTAGATCACAGGTGATTTCAATGCAACCGGTTCAAGTATCTTAGAAAAGCCAATCTCTTAAGCACGACGCAAGACATCTTCATTTAAATATACTGTCATATATTTAATATATTTAGATTTATAAGTTCTTAAAAAATTAAAAGAAACGAGCAGTTTCGGAATCGTGGAATACGAAAATACAAAGGACTTCGGCGTAATTGCTCGAACACGTGAGGATCTAACGACTCGGTCCAGTCCAAGAATTTAAGAGCATCGAAGGATTGGCACGTCCAAAGATCCGCAAATTCGAGAACACTCCGCAACCGTTCTCCTACGTCATATGTCGTACAATAATATAAATTGCTCATGTCTTCGAAGCCCGAGAGGTTCTTTGTAATTCCACATTCAAGAACATAAAAACCATGCAAACTTTCGCAAGGTCCCGACACACACACACACACACACACACACTCTCTCTCTCTCTCTCTCCCCCTCCCCTCCTCTCTCTCTCTCTCTCTCTCTCTCTCTCTCTGCTTACCTTAATTATATAATAATATAACAAATCAGTCTAATCTTCCTTTGTAGAAAACATCCCTGGTGACGAATATTTCTTCGCATCGGCGGTGACGCTAGTAGTTCTAAAGATGCCGAGCAGGCTGCTCCTCAGACGGGCATAAATCTCCTTACGCACGGTCGCCGTGAACTTGGTGGTCAGGCAGCTGATCGCTGCCGCCGCAAAGATTATATTGTAGAGAAGCACGAGCTTGAAGTTACCAAGCCATTCAATGCGTCCAAAGTCACCCAGAAGATCAAAGTTTGTCATTCCTGGGAAAAGCATAAACCAGAAAGAATGTGAGCAAGCAATAATAAAATGCCATATATGTGTAAAATGGTTTGTTTGAAGGGTATAATTCTTTAGAATTACTTCCTTTAATTGACAGACAATAATTTCATTATTCATTTTGTTATCTACAATCAGTCGTGAAAGTAAGCAATTTTCTTAATTATCGATTATCTATTATAAATTATTTACTATTATCTTAGAACATATATATAATGGCCGGGACTGAGACGTTTTTGTGGGATAGAAACATTGAGGCGATTCATGTCTTACCTAAAACTCGCGATAATAGTGGTAATGCTGAACTTAGCACGAGCAAAAGAGCGCAATTTGCGATGAGATGAGTGAGCGGCGTGGAACGAAACCTTGGTTGGACGATTCTCACGCCCGGCAAAGCGTACAGGCCGATTGCACTAGTTACGGCCAGGTAAAGAATTACCGCTACCTCGATTGCTGCACCGACGGGCCCAAGCTTAGACAGGGAGCTGATGCCGAGCGTAAATTGCTGTCGGGATAAAAACGAATAACATCTTCAAAATTATTCGAGGTAAAACTACAATTCGTGCTACGTAAACGAGAATAAAACAACCGTGAGAAAACGATACCATCAATCGATTCGATTCATAAAGACCAAATGAAATCATTAAGTGTTAAATTTACATGCAAAGTAAATTATTTCAGACAATCTGTAATTCTTTTCTTTTTAGCAATTATTTAATTACAGTACGCAAAATTAAATTCAGCATTTTCACATTAATTAGTGTGACGTTGACTGCAATTATATAATATACGTATAATGAATACAATTATAATAATAATTACAGCGCAGAATTCATGAGTAGAAAGTCGATTAATTTAAAAGTACATACTCTGGTGCTTAACGGCAACGCCTTGATGCCTATTAGCAATTCTATAGTGTTTTGCACCGCTAATAGGGCCGTGGCGGTTGACAGAACGAGCAGCGCCAGCATCGCTACCGGGTAAAGTAACGTGCGCCGGACCCACCAGGTCCTCCGCTGTTGGTCCAGCAGCTGTCGCCGCCTCTGAACGTCGTTCAGCCGTTGAGAAAGTCCCTTCTGCAGAGCGCCGTTCCTCAGACACAGCAAACCTGGACTTATACACAGCAGCGGCTCGTCGTCCTCGTGCGACCAGCCGCAGCTCATCGCTGGCGACATCGGCACCGGCGACACGTACGACTTGCCCGTAGCTTTTACGTGCTGCAATCTGAACAAACGTTGAATTAGACGGAAAACGAGACTAGTACAAAATTGCAATACTCGATGTAGATAAGAGATGCAAGGAAAAAGATAGATGCTCACCTCCTACGGATACAATCTTCCTCTAATCTATACGCGAAGAACTCTTCGTCCAAGTTCTTCAAAAATTGGGGTTTAACAAGAAACGACCCCACCACGTCAAACAGTCGTACGAATCCCACTGGAGTGCATACTAAGGACAGAACGATTCAGCGAATTAAAGTGACTTATCGGACAAAGAAATGTACACATAAATATTATATTTGACAATTATAGCAAATTAATTTTTCTGTGCCGCGAATAGCGGAGTTATGCGAAGATGCGTGATACTTACGCAATAGCATTACTACGCCGACAAACGAGACGCATGAGTACAGGAAAGGCAGATAATAACTCCATAAATCTGTAAAGTAAATGGTGTCAGGTTTCATTCGACGTCGTAACTTTATCGCTCTGATATATCTAGACTGTATGCATATAAGATTATTAATCAAAGGACTGTACAATATGTGATAATGTAAGGTGAAACAGTGTAAAGTAGGGCAGATAAGTTGAGCAGATGTTACGTATTGGATATAAGAGGAGAATTATATAGAATTTAGAAATACGTTAGCGTATGTGTGTGTGAAATTAATGGAAGATGGGTGTGTATTAAGTTTTTGAACTGTAAATCAAGTCACCACGTCTTGGCAGTAAATTGAAGCGACTAAAATTATCGTCTATCTTTAAGATTATCAATCTCGCGTGTGATATGTATACTTACTGAGCAACGTGTGCAAACTTGAGTTTTGATAATCCAACAGGGCCGACAGGACATAGGTCATTCCCAGTACGAGAGTGCCCAAGAGACAGAGAACCGTCACTGTCTCGTAGACCCGCGCCATCACGCCCTGCAATCGTGACGTGATTATGAAAGGTGAGACATAAGGAACTCGTTGGAAGTCCTTCGGGATTTGGTCTTACCTTTTTATGGCCCTCGAAACCTTCCGATTCCGTGAAGAGATAGGCGAAAGGCAGAAACACGAAGAGCGACAAGTTCGAAAATAGGAACACGTGGTTCCATAGACCTGTCGATTAAGAAATTACATCGTTACGACATAACGTTCACACGAGGCTGGAAACTAAGAACTCGAGATGATTATATCGCATGAATTCATCGAGGAATTTAACTAAAAACTGTGTTACTTTTTAATGAAAATGATTTTTCACTGCATTTTTACTGAAATATTAATAATATATAATACTTCTATCAAGGTAGCGCTTTTCTATCTTTTTAAATGTGTACACCTGTTTCTTAGATAACTCGAGAATAAATCGTGTTGAAATATATTTTTTCTGCAATTTTTCAGTTGAAGATTTTACCTTGGATAAGGGAGCTGTTGAGCCACTTGACGTAGTAGCTGTTTGGATACAGGATGAGGACCTCATTACTGACGATAGACACCGGAAGTAGGAGGGTCGCGCCGACGGAAATCGCCAGGGCGACCGTACACAGCCAGAGGCTGATCCTGTACACGGTGGCCTCATCCTCGTCCACTGACAAGTAATCCTCGCGATCCCGGCGCCTAAAACGCGCTATCAGCGCGTAGCTCGAGATGTATAGCAGCAGGAAAAGCAGCAGGTATATCTGCAAAGACACCGTTCATTGCACACCTTGCATCTCAATAGTATATTAATAATTATGTTATTGTACATAAAAATTTATATTTTTTAAATAAATTTTGAATAGATGTTTTTTTTAATTAATACTTTTAGTACTGCATAGATTTAAAATCATTCCAGAGTTCTTGATTAGTTTTCAAAAATTGTTCTGACCATTAAAGACATGAAACTGAATTTTAAAAATATGGGGGACTAACTTCGTGCAGCCTCTTATTGTCGGAACAAAAATTTTATTGGAATACTGGATAGATATCACATAGTTCTGGGGAGTTCTTGATACACAGTTTAAAAATAGTTTCGTTCGAGAAAGTAAAAAACATTGAAGTTGAATACCCAAAAACAGTACTCAATAAATACTTATAAATACTTAAAAAAATATTAATTTCATGCAATTTCATCATAAAGATTTTTGGTAGAATGCATTCTAGCAAAAAGCGGTTTCCTGTGGATGAGTTTAATTTACTGATGGCTCCCCATGGACAAGTGTCGTGCCAATGGAGAGGTAAACTTTTTTTGTATATTTTATTGTTGACTCTTTATAATCATGTGACTTCGTTTTGCCCCTTTTGTGTAGGTATTTTAATTTTCTTTATTTATTCCATGTAACTATTTCTCTCCATTTGCTGCGTTGATAAGGGTCCAAAGAAAAGACCGAAGCATACGCGTTTTTTGTTAAGAAATCTGTTTAATTAAAGTTTTCATGCGCTCCAAGTACCGCACTTGGCTCTTATTGTCTTATTTCTCCAATATCGAAAAATGTTTTTGTTCTCGTAGGCAAAAATTAGAAGCTTTACATTTTTAGCCAATACACAATTCCGTTTACGAGGCGCGATTCTTAAAATATTTAATATCAATGTCATTATTAAAAATAATGACTTTTATTTATATAATTATAAAATAAATAATATATAGTATTTATTTTATAATTATATAAATAAAATATATAAATAAAATAAATTTAAAAAAATTTTTAATAAAATAAATAAAATAAAATATTATTTTGCATTGTTCGAATGTATAATAAATCACCCTTAAAGTTTCGAAAAAATCGGCTTAATATGTTAATTAAAAAATCCTTTACACGAACACTCTAAAAAATAGTGGTGCGAAGTTTCATTCAAGTTTCAGTATACCCACGTAGTTAAATAACTCGGTGTGAATTTTAACATTGAAAGTGTGAAAATCATTCACGCCAACAAACGCGGTGTCAACTTTGATGCCTATATTGTTTTGTTTTCACGACATGCGATGTAACCGTCGTGACGACGCCACACGTAACCATAATAGAACAATCAATCGCTACGTCGTTTAGGTATCGCGTATGTATGTATTCATACACGTCGTTCACGTTTACAGTGTGAATTTCCCACACTAACCAGGCAATGTTAATTTCACATCGATAAGGTGAGAATTATATAAACCCCTGTACGGGTATTTCCACGCCATCGGTGAGAATTCACATCCATATCTCTTACTTG